GTGCTGCCCTCGCCGGTGCGGGCGGCAGCCCGGGGAGGTGTCCCGCGAGTCCCACAGCAGCCGGGCAGGGTCAGGGCGGGGAGGGCTGCCCACGGAGGGACACTGGACGGGAGAGGGTCCGAGCGCCCCTCGGGAGCCGCTTGGCCCGGGCGGGGCAGGGGCCGTACCTGCAGCTCGCACCAGGCCACCTCCACGGTGGTCTCCGTGTCCAGCCCCTTGTAGACGGTCTTGAAGGAGCCGCGGCCGATCTCGATGTCGAACTTGAGGAACCGGCCGTCGGGGGAGGTGGCGACCGCCCGCGTCTCTACCTCCTCGCTCTCCGTCTCCTCCGGTTCCCGGAGCCCGGCAGCGGCCGCCGGCGGCGGCGACCCCCCGCGCTCCCCGTCCGGCGCCGGGTACCCCAGCAGCTCCAGCTCGGCCGAGCTCCGCCGGTTGAAGCGGGAGGAAGCACGTCGGGAATCGCGCCCCGAGGGCCGCCGGCTGCGGTTGCGGTGCGGGGCCCGTCCGGTGAGCCCTGGAGCGGGCTCCGGCTCCGGCTGCGGCGGGGAGCCGCTGTCCGCCCGCTCCGCCTCGGGATGGGACATGGCTCCGGTGGCGGCGGGCTCGGCCGCCAGCATCGGCTCAAGCCCGGCGGGAGCGGCCGCTCCCGCGCAGCTTCGCACCCGCTGCCTCCGCCACCGCGCAACCGGGAGCGACCGCCGAGACCCGCTCCGGGCACCGGCCCCGGCCCGGGGAGGGGCACAGCACCGGGCAGGGGCACCGGGGAGGGGCACAGCACCGACACCGCACCGGGCAGCAGCCCCGGGACGGCGCCCGGCGCTGCAGCTCATGGCACGGGCTGCGAGCAGGGGCGAGCGCTCCGGTCCCGCTCCCGACCACCCCGGGGTGCCGGGATGTCCCCTCCCCGCAGGACAGCCCCTTCCCTGCCGCCGCCCCGCGGGGCTCCGGGGCTGCTGTGAGTAACGCAGGAACGTCCCTGCTTTAAACATTTCCTCGGAATTTCTGCCTCTGGTCCCGGAGCAGCGTGTCCTGGAGCTGCCGGGACGCGAGTTCCCCCTCACGCTGCCCCAGAGAGCCCCGCTCGGGGTCACTACGGTCCGAAATCCCGAAATTAGGGTCAGGCAAATAGGAAGAGTCGAAGGTGTGTGTCAGCCCCGCGGGAGCCAGCAGCCGGACAAGAGCGTGCTGTCTCTCCAGGCTGAAGGAGAAGGTTGTTCTGCCGGTGAGGCTGTTTACACAAAACACAAAGCAATTGAGGCCACCGCCGATTTCTTTTCCCGGAGGTCAGATTGTTTCTACTCAACGATACCGGAAACATTAAGGAGTGGATCGACGAGGGAAGGCAGGCACGGCTCCTCCGGGCCAGCCTGGCACCCGCAGGTGATGCCCGGTGACCGGAGCTGCTGAGCTCCACGTCCCGCACGGCTGCTCCCCGCAAATCCCCGCCGGCAAGAGGGAGGGACAAGTGTTTAGTGAAATGTTCCTGGCTGCCCTGTGGCTCTCTGCTGATCTCTGCTCTGCTACCCCACTCTACCCACCTCCTCCTGCCTTCCCACCCAGGGGTTTGAGCAATGTCTGCCTGGCAAGAGCTGCTGGAGCAGAACTGGCTGCTGAGCAGGGAGCAGCAACCACTCAGCCCTGCACCCCTTGGGCTTGCTCCCAGGTGAACAAGCAGCACTGGCAGAACACCACGGCCAGCAGCAGCCCCTGCAGGGCTCTGCCTGCTGCTGGGGCACTGGGTGCCCGTGGCCACTGAGCCAAGAGGCCAGGACTGCCAGGCCACAGGGGCAGTGCCTGCACTGGCCCTGCCATGGGAAGCTCTTGGGTTGCAGGATGCAACGTGGTTGGACTCAGCTCTGTTAAACAATGCTCTTTGTTCAGGTGAGCCTTATCAGAACCTTCTCAGCATGGCCAGAAAGGGGGGCATGCTGCCCGAGGGCCTCTAGGTTGACTCTGTGTGCCCCCACACGGGGGTCCCTGGCAGGGCCCATGCACTGCCCAGGCCCAGGAATACAGCCCGGGCTGGCAGGGAGCCCCAGCTCTCCAACCAGAGACACAGAGCCAGGCAGGGCTCTCAGCTTGGTCCCTGGCAGGCTCATGTCTCCTTATCAAGGGTTTCCATCGTGAAACAAGACGCCTTGGAAGATCCCAGAGGAGCAGGGGAGTATCCCAGTCCAATGAGGCCCCTGCAGACAGGAGAGGAAATTAGGGGTGAAGTTTGCTCCAGCTGCTGCCCTCCCACACCTCCCTTTGTGAGTGGCCCGAGAAATTCCCTAAATGATCCCTCCAAATGCCACTCCACGCCAGAACTTGGGAGGGAGGTGGCAGCTCGGGAACAGGTCCTCTCCTGAGCTGGCCAGGAACACCAATCTGCAGCCAGCTTGGCCTGAAACCAGGAGGCTCGTGTTCCACAATCAGGCGCCCACTGCAGCTCCCCGGCGTTATCAGGGTGACATTTCTGGGCTGCAGGTGCCAGTGCCAGGCTTCACTTTGAGGAACCGCCACAATCAGGGAACATAACCCATTTCTCGCCTGCATTTGGCTGCCAGAAAGAGTACAAGGAACTGTGTAATCGCTCTCCTCAGAATTAGATCGTGAATCAAAGCCCTGCTCAGCTCCAGGCTCCGCCAAGCCCTGCCAGGAATTGTCTGCTCTGATCCCAGAGCTTGGGGCAGGACCACAGAGGGGCCAGGATGGGTCTGGATGAGGGGGATGCACAGCTGGGGCTGCAGAGCACAGGGTGCTGTCCCAGGAGGGCCCTAGGGACACCCAGGGCTTGTTTCACTGCTGGCTTCACCATCCCATACCCATGGGACCTTCTGTGTCTCTCACCCTAACTCCCATGAGTTCAGGGAGGAGGAGATGGCTCCCAAACCTCAGCTGTGCCTGTAACCCTGGGCAGATCACTGCAGAGGATTTCCTCAGCCCAGAGGCACAGATGGGATCCGCCTGCACGTTTATCCCAACATAAGAAGTTATCAAACTGAAACAGCTCTTGCTCCTGAGCAGCTGCATTAAAGAAAATCTTTCTCGGAATCTTTCCTCCCTCACCAGCGGGATCCGAGTGTGCCCAGCCTGATAGTGCCTTATCTTGGCACCAGCCCCTCTGAGCTCTGCCTCACCCTGGCCAGAGAGCCCTAATCACCACGGCCAGACGTGGCCAGGGCCTCTGAGGGGCCACAGGCTGGAGGAGGGGGTTCTACCAGCCACCCCCATGCCCCCAAAACCACCCTGAGCCACCTCCCCAGGGCTGTGAGGCTGGGCTGGCACAGAGGGACACCTGCTCCCTCCAGGGTGGCTGCAGCAGCTCTGCCACTCCCAGGACACATCCCACAGCCCCAGCAGTGGCACATCTCTGCCTCAGCAGTGGCACACCTCTGCCCCAGCACTGCCCAGCCCAGGGAAGCTGGTCCCACAGGCACTGCTGGATGTGGCCTCTGGTAACCAGCCCAGAGGGTGTGGAAAAGGAATTTTACACAATGTCCACTCTGCAGAGGGGACACACTCTTCCTCCTCCTCCTCTTCCCCCCCACTCACTGAGTAAGCAACTAAATAGGAAGCTGAAAAAGAGATGGGAATTGCTGCCAGGAGTGGCTTGGAATGAAAAGCTGGTTTTAGGCTTATCTAATGTCACATCAGCCATTTCCTAAGAAGGGAGCAAATTTAATTAAGAACACAGACTCCCTCAAGGACAGCCAGGTTACACAGCACTCCCAGCCTGGAACACAGCGCTGGGAGGTCAGGATTGTGCACACAGGCAGTGAGAACAGACACTCCAGCCTGGCTGCTGACGGGATCAAATTGTTTGGGATCAGATGCAGACACCTTCAGGCACAGCACCCTGCTCTCTGCAGGGCTACCAGAGCAACCACAGAGGGAAGGGGCAATGCAGGTGGCATGGGGAGGAAAGTGGAGGCAGATCTTGGACATGGAAACAAACCCAGGGCAGACTGGGAGCACAAGAATCCTACAGAGACTTTGGTGGCTGCAGACATAGAGGGATGATCCCTGAGCAGCAGAGGCTGTGCCAGCTGTGGGACAGATGCACTGCAGGGCTCATGGCACGTGCCATGGCACAGCCTGTGCTGCTGGGTTTGCTCAGCACCATCAGTGGCAGGACCATGACAGAGCTCCTCGGGGTGATGGTGCTCAGAAAGGACCCACACCAGCCCAGTGTCAGTGACTCTGGAGCCTTGCTGGTGCCTTTGTTCAGTGCTGGCACTCAGGAGCTCCTGCACAGCACTGCTGAGCCTGGCATGGAGAGGAAGCCTGGGCTCCAGCCACGGTTCCAGAGCAACGTGCCCACGCCAGGGCAGCACATCCCAGCAAGCCCAGGTCAGTGGGCTCCTGCTACAAAACAAATCTTCACATTTCACAGTCCCCAGACTCCAGCATCCCACCTACACTGAGAACTCCTCAATGCTGACATCAGATGTCAGGAGCTGTCAGGAGCAGGTGAGCCAGTGCCAGGTTGTCCCCAAGGGCAGGGAAGGCCAGACAGGGGCAGCCTGTGAGGTGCAAGTGCCATCTGCTCTGCTGGACCCCAGACTGACCCGAGGTCACTCCAGCACTGTCCCCACCCTCTGCCAGTGACATGCACACACCCACCAGGGAAAGGTGGCCCTGCCCCAGCACAGCCACCTGCTGTCCCAGGGCTCACAGGGTCAGCAGCTGCACCTGGGCCACAATTCCTGACCAGTTGGGGACTTTGTTGTCACCTAAAGCTGAGTCATCCCTCTCCCAGCCACAGTGGCACACAGCTTACCCCATCACCTCTGCACAAACCCAGGCACTTCCAGCAGGCTGCACATGCAAATTTAAAGTAAATGTTGTCCTGAGAAGGGCAGCAAGGGTCCCCTTCTCCTTTTTCCTTGTGCTGTTTCCCACCCTGGAGCCACTGCATTTCCCTGGGGCAGACAGGAAATATGACTGAAGGGCAAAAATCTGGTACACTGCTCTGTCTCTGATGGAAAAATAAAGATAGATGAAAACAGCCAGGCTGCTCTATAAATACATCTCCTTTTAATCACCTGAAATTAGTTCCCTGGCTTCCCCCAGCCTGCTTGGCAGCAAGTGCACTTCCTTCTGCCACTGAGGGCTTCCACAGCCAGCCCCTGCTCCTGCCTCAGCCCCTGGCACTGCAGCAGGACTGCAGGACCCAGGCACGTGGCTGCCAGGGCCACAGGGGGACCCTCTGAGGCCAAGCCTGACCAGCCAGCTGGGGCTGCTTCGAGGCCATCCAGGCACAGGGACCAGCAGCAGTCCAGTTTCACTCCTGGGGGGTCCCTCTCAGAAATCCTTCAGCCTCTCGAACACACCAACAGGGAGAACAGACAGACAGAGGAGCTCAGGATATTCCTGAGTCTTTGGAAGGGTTCTCAGACTCATCTTGCCCCGAGAAATCCCAAGATGCAGCTACTTGCAGTCACAGTTTGGGGCCAGGCCCAGAGAGGAACGCCTGGCAGGGGGAGCCCAGCCTGCAGCAGGGAAGGGGAGGAGGCTCCAGTCAGAAGAACTTGACACCCCTGCCATCATCCAGCGTGATGATCTCAGCCTTGTGCTCCTGCTGCAAGGCCTGCAGGGCACGGAGCAGCGTGGCCTCATCCAGGCCATGAAACTCTAGACAAAGATCAACAGGAAGAAAAAAATTAACATCAGGAAAGAAAGAGGTTTGTGAGGTGCAGGGGCAGCGATGCTGAGGGCTCTCAGAGCACCACAGCAAACCCAGTGATGGATGCACTGAGGGGATCACCATCCCTGCTCAGGGAACAGAGCCTGGAGGTCAGCAGACAGCAGGGATGAGTCTCAGCAGCCTGCAAGGCAGAGCTGGAACACAAAACACCCCTCAGCACACCAGATAAAGTGCTAGGCACTGGGGAAGGGAAAATGCAGTTACAGAGGGGGGTGTTGCTGCAAAGTGATAAAAGCCTTTGTACCAATGGTGGGAAAGGGTGAGTTCACACCTGAGATTTCAAAACATTTAATCCACAAGACTGCAATCTGACAATCAGCTGCTGACATTTTCCAATCCAGTGTGCTCTGAAAACCTGCTCCAGAACACGAGCCCCAGCTTTACCTTCATTCTCTGTGTCATCTCCACTGACCAGTTCATACAGCGTGAACACAGAGTTGGTCAGGCCGTTCTTGGACACCTGGAAACACAAAGGCAATACAGCAAATTTCACCCACGTGGCTGCACATCCTTGTCCAAACCTCTCACCCACCCTGGAGCGTGTAAAACTGAGTGTGCACAGCACTTGGTGTGAACCCTGGGGCAGAGGGGTGAGGAGGTGCAGCCTGGGGGAGTGAGGACAGGGCTGCTCCTCCTGCTGTGTGTGCCACAGCTTGGAGCTGGGCCAGGAGTGGTGCTGCCCTGTCCTCACCAGCCTCACACTGCAGCTCCCAGCAGTGCCAGGCTGCTCATGGCTGCTCACCTCTCTGCAACAGAGAGAAGTGCAAGGAGAAAGGCAAAGGCAGCGAGGAAGCAATGTGGTGTTTCCCAAAGAGCAGCCAGGACCCCCATGCTCACAGACACAGCCCCCGAGCTCTCACCCATTGGTAGATGAGCTTTCCCCATTCTTCTGGCCTCTTCCACATGATCAGAAAGCTGGTTTTGTTCTTGTCTAACCACTCCAGGTTCCCTAGAAGCAGTAAGGAACGGGGATTGAAGGGGAGCAGTCAGAAATAAGGATGAAACACGCAGATTTCAGACTCTGCACCCCGAGGCAGCTCCCAGACCAGCCCTGTCCTGTACACTGAATACTGGGGAATCTACAGAATCGATTTCTCTGCCCAGCCCTCCCTTCCCGGCACAGCTGAACCCGCCTGCCTCGGAGAGCCCGGCCCAGACGCGCGGCACGGAGCTGCCCGGTGCCTGAGCCGGTGCCCCCTGCGGGTCGGCAGCACGGACGGACAGACAGACAGACGGATGGACGGACGGGGCACGCACCGTTCTTGCGGAGCTCCTCCAGCACCACCTGGATGGATTCCAGCGGCAGCTTCCCTGGGCGCGGGTTAAGGAGGCGTCGGCGGAGGCGGGGTCAGGGGCGCGGGGGGCACCGGGCACCGGGCACCGGGCACACAAAGGATACGCTGCAGGCGGTGGTTGGCGAAGAGCGGGATGTCCTGGGCCTCCCGCACCGTCATGGCGGGCAGCCGGTGCTCCTGGCTGTAGGCCAGCGCCAGCGCGCACCAGGCCGACAGCTGCTTCTGCCGCGTCTCGCCGTTGGGCTGCAGCCTGCGGGGCCCGGTCAGCACGGGGGCGGCCGGGCACCGGCACCCCCGCTCCCCTCCCCGCTCCCCCGGCCCCAGCCCAGCCCCGGCCGCGCTCACGTGAAGAAGGGAGGGAAGCTGTACTGCCAGGGCCACACGAAGCTCATCGCCTCCGCCGCCGCCGCCGTTACCGGAACCGCCGCCGCCGCTTCCTGCCCCGCCCCGCTTCCGGCCCGGCGGGGCCACGCCCCCGCGGGCCACGCCCCAATGAGACCCCGCCTTTCCTATGCGTGACCACGCCCCCATGAGATCCCGCCTTTCCTCTGTGTGACCACGCCCCCGTGTAGCCCCGCCCCTCCCGGCGGCGGCCCCGGTTCTGTGCCGGTTTTGTGCCCGTTCGGTGCCGGTTCTGTGCCCGTTCGGTGCCGGTTCGGTGCCGGTTCTGGTGCCGGCAAGAAGCTGCCGGCAGACCCGCGCCAGGAGGGCGCTGGCGGCGGGAGCTGGCCCGCGCCGGGCCGTGGAGGGATGGAGCGGCCGAAGAAGCAGCGCCAGGCGTGGGGGGAGAAGCGTTTAATGCCGGTCCGCGGGGTGGGGAAGGCGCGGGGGGAACCGGCTGCGAGGGATGGTGACCCCGGGAGCCCAGCGGCTGTGCCGGGGCCGGGCAGGGAGGGCGGCTCTAAGCCTGCGCCTTGCCGTCCTTGCTGCGCCAGATGACCAGCGTGACGAGGAAGGGGATGAGGCAGATGGGTGCGATGATCATGGCCAGGAGCACGTCCTCGGGCGGGTCGAAGTACACCGGGTGCTCCAGGGTGCAGTTGTGGAAGTAGCGGTGGTGGCTCTGGAAGATGTACTGCTCGGCCAGGGCGTTGGGGTAGCTGTGGTTGAGGCGCTCTGCCCACTCCTCCAGGCAGCGCTGCAGCTCGCTGTAGGGCCTGGAGGAGAGCCGGGGCGGCGGCAGGGGATGGGACACCGGGGGCACACACCCCGCGCCCTGCCGAGTGCCCAGCCCCTGCTGCTGGAGGGGAGGGTCCTGCTGGCCCCTACCTGCTGATGACTTTCCACTCGCACAGCTCCGATGTCATCACGTTCCTCATCAGGTAGACGAAGTAGTCCCAGCAGTGCTGTGTGATGGCGGTGTAATTCCCCTCTGCGAGGAGAGGTGCTGAGCTCGGGCAGCATGCCTCTGCCCGCAGCGCATCATCCCTGCCTGCCCCGGCTGCCAGGTGACACCTGGCATCTGGAGCCCAGCACATGAGGGATGGACCCTACGGCAGCCCTGGGATGCTGCCTGGAGCCTGCAGCAGCCCAGGGCAATGCCAGGGGCAAGAGGGAGGGCAGGCTGCTGCTGACTGCCGCCACTGTAGGCAGTGACAGTGACAGTGACAGCTTCATGGCACAGGCCAGCTGTTTTTGGGATGGCTTGGAGAAAGAAGGGGTCATTCTGTGGCACAGGGCCAGCCCTGGCCAGGGCACCATTTGTCCTGCAGTGCTGCCCGGCCCTCACTGGGCCCCAACACTCACCCATGGACTGGGCTGTCCAGTTGGAGGTGGCCGTGGGTGGGCTTGTCCCAGTGCCCTGGCTGAAGCTGGTTGTCACGGCGTCCGTGTGACAAAGGCCAGTCCCCAGGAGCACTGCAGAGGGAGGGACACAGGGTGAGAGGGGACACAGGGTCTGGGGGGAGGATAAGGATGCTGACAGGGCTCATGCACAGGAGCTGCCCTGGCAGAGGCTGGGTCTACAGGAAATAATTGCTTTTGGGTGTCCCTCAGGGCAGGTGGGGCACAGGAAGCCAGAGTCTGGCACATGCTGGGGCTAGGGCATCCAGCCCTGGGATGGGCAGGGGCTGTGGGGAGGGGCTAGCCAGGCTGCAAGCAGCTATCCAAAGGTTTGGAGGGGCTATTTAGGGGCTACAAACCCTGGAGAATTGCCACAGCATGGGGGAAAATGGGACCCCCACCCATGGGGAGCCAGCGTGTCAGCCGGACAGGGCTGGGGCAGGAAGAGGAAGCACTGGCCACGGCACAGAGCTGCTGCAGAGCCCCTCCGCCTGCCATCAGTCCCACACCCAGCACAGCCTGCCAAGGGCGTGGGGCACGTCTCGCCTGGCCCACGGGAGCCCCGTGGCTCGAGGAAACTGCCCGATCCATCTTCCACCCTCGGCTGTGGGGCACTGATGCTGGCTCCACGCTGAACCGCCGGACTGGGCTCTCCTCGGGCTGCCCGTGGGGAGCTCTGGCACAGCTGGGCACTGCCCACGGGGCGCTGCTGGGCTGGCACACTGGCTGTGCTAAGGGCAGCCCACCCTGTCCCGATCTCTGTCCCTGATGCCCCATCCAGCCCCGCTGCCGGGGCCTGTGTGCTGCTACAGCCCCTCTCCCAGCCCGGGTGTTCACGGGCTCCCTGCCAGGTGGTGGCTGAGCGTGGTGGGAGCTCCCCGCAGCACCTGGTGCTCACCTGCCGAGCTCTCTGGCCGTGTCTGCCCCAGCTAACCCCGGCGCTGACAGTCTGGTCGCATTTTGGGGTGGGGCATGGGGGCGGGCTGAGCCCAGAGCGTGGCCCCGGGCCCCAGGAGCGGCAGGGCGGCCACGTGCGGGGCGGTTCGGGGTGCGGAGCCCCGCGCACTTACCGCAGAGCAGCAGGAGCCCTCGGGAGACGCGGCCGGAGCTCGTGTGCGCGCACGGTGCCATCCTGCCAAAGCCTGCCGGCTAACGACCGGGACAAGGATTTCAATGGAAATAACAGGAAGCAACTCCTTTCCTCTGACAGGGGCAGTTTGACTACAGGAGACGTGTGAAAAATGAGATTGCTCAGTGCTGCTCCGAAGCGGCTCTCCCGGCGGGACCCGGCGCTGTCCCGTGCGGTGCCGGCCCCCGCGGGCATCGCTCCCGCACCCCGGCGCCCGCGCCTCACCCACCGGCCTGGAGGATCCACTCCCTGAGCAGCACGTCCAGCGTTACGAGGCCGCGATTTGTTTACTTGTGTATTTCTCTTTAATCCTGTCTGGGCTGGGTTGTGAAATCCCTCGTCTCCTGCGTGGAGGGCAGGCAGCCCAGCAGCGGGGGGAGTGGACGGGAAAGCACAATGTCCCCGCACGGGTGCTGCCGCCCGGGAATGGGGGCGGCAGCGGGACCCACGGCCCCAAAACCGCAGTTTCTGGTTCAGCCGGGCACCTGCCCCGCAGGCGGCACTGCCGGGGCAGCCCCGGCTCCTGCCCATGGCCAGGGAGAGGAGGGTGGTGACACAATCTACCCCCAGGCACGAGGCCGAGGAGGTGGGGAGAGGTCAGACACTTGGCCGACCCTGCCAGTCCTTGGCCCCAGCGCCTTCCTCCTGCGCTGCCCAGCCTGGCGCCTGCCTGACTCTGCCAGAGCCCCCCTTCCTGGAGCAGGGGCCCATGTTCCCCCCACTGGGGGTGGCATTCCTACACAGGACCTTTCACGGCTGGCCGGGGCAGAGCGCAGCCCAGAGCCTCCCCTTTAGCCGCCTGCAGGGACCGGAGTGCGGGGCAGGGCAGCTCGGAGGGACCCTCCCCGCTGCGGATCGCGCTGCGCTTCAGCTCCCCAGCAAAGGTCCTGGCAGAGCTGCCTGGTGCTTCCCAGGCGGCAGCAGCCACCTTCTGCGGGCGAGTGGCCGCATCTGGAAGTCATCCCCAGCGCTCCAGTGGCCGCAGGGCTGGAGCCACTGGTCCCTGTTTCTGGTGGAGCCTCCAGCCGGGTGGCAGGAGCCTCTGCCAGGGAGACACCCAATGATCTCAGCACGGCCCCAGGGCAGGGACGGCCGCCCCCCTCCTGGGGCGTCCGGAGGGGATGGGCAGGGACAGGACGGTGGCTGCCTGCCAAGGGCTTGGGCTCCCCACCCAGCCTGGCATCCCTGGCGTTCCCTGCCAGCCCCAGCCTGGGGTGCTGAGGAAGGGGATCGACCCATGCAAGCTCTGTGACTCTTCTCCCAGAGGTCCCCCAGGCAGATGCAGCATCTGGAGCTCTGTGCCCAGCCTCTCCTCGTGCCATGGGACCCACTCCGTGCCCAGGGAATCCCAAGCTCCCCATCCCTGCTCTGAGGACTGCCCTCAGTCCTCTCCTCCCACTCATTAGCTGCCAGGACTGGGAGGGAAGAGGGCTGTCACTGGCCCCTCAAAGACTGGGGGCACGCAGGAGATGGGGTTCTCCCAGCTCCTCCCTGGGGTTTGAACCCCTTTCTGGGCTCTGCTTAGTGTGAGGTTCTGCAAGGGGCACGAGGCAGCCAAGCCCCTTGGCCACAGCCACACTGCCCAGCTTGGGGAGCCTGGCCTCTGTGCAGCTGGTCAAGTATTCAGCGTGGACCTGCAGAAAGAAGGTGTCGATGGCCCCAGGCCAGGGCAGGTGAGCAGCTGGGTGCCACTGGAGAGCTCGCTGTAGGTGCAGCAGAGGGGACAGCATGAGGCCAGCCTGCAGGGCTGGGGGCACACCCCTGTGATGCCCTGCTCCGAGTGTGCATGTGGCACTGCTGGGGTGATGCTGACCCATCTGCTGATCTCGTTCCAGTGGCAACAACTTCCCTTGGGAGTGGCCATGAGGGTGGCATGGAAAGGGGCCCAGCAGCAGAGGGATATCCAGCCCTGGTAGGTGTCCTGGCAGTGGGCTGGCACCACCAGCACCTCCAGAGGTCCAGCAGTGCACCAGACAGACCCTGGGGTGTCACTCCACTCCCAGCTCTCTCCCCTAATTGTGGTTTCAGGAGGGCTGTTTGGGGTCACCCCTGGACTCTGCCCAGGATGAGGCAGGCACTCTGTTGTGCAGTTCAACACACAGCCCTAGGGGTCCCACATCAGGGCTGCCTGTGACTGTGGGGCTCCATGGGATCAGCCAAGCCAGGAGTGAGCTCTGAGCCCCTGCAAGCCCAGCACAGACTGCACAGGTCTCACCCAGCTGGATGAGGAGGACAGCCAGGATGGCAAGAGGGCAGCTCTGCTCACCATCCTCATCCAGTAGCCACCCAGAAGGACAGACTGTGCCACTGGTGGTGGTGGGACCTGTGGGACCATGTGAGGTCCAAGGGGTGCTGGACATTGCCCTGCCAGTGGTAGAGCCCCCACCATAGGGCTGCTGCAGAAGCTAGGGCTGGAGCCACATGGGATATGGCACCTTCATCCTTGAGATCCCCGTGCTCAGTGTTCCCATGGCCTGCAGCAAGGAGGCACAGGATGCCAGGGCTGCACAGCCAGGAACAGCCCCCGCGCCCAGCTGCTGGTCCCAGTACATCAGAGACCCCTCCTCCTCCTCCCAGGCTGAGCACAGCTGAGGTGACTAGGCTAAGGGAGCAGAGGGCTCCTGGCTCTGCCTCGGCCCTTGCAACCTGGAAGAGAAATTTCTGAGCCAACACCTGCCCTGGGGACAGACAAATGTGTGGCAAACCCTGCTGAGAGATCCTCAGAAAGAAGTCCAGGAGGGGCCAGGCGAGCTGTACAGCTGCACTGGGCCAGAGGAGAGAAACAGGCCAGGGGCTCTGTGGGGACTCGCTGCGTGCCAGACCCGTGCCCAGCCTGGGGCTGCCCGTGCAGCACCCGCGGGAGAGAGACAGGAGCGGGCAGCAGAGCAGCGCTAGCCCGGGGAGCATCCTCATCCTCCCGGCAGCCGGGCTGGGGCTCCCCGGGCACCCAACCCCGGACCCCGGCCCGTCCCAGCGCTGTCCGCCCGCTCCCGAGCCAATGCCCGGCAGGGTCGGGGGACGCCGGGCGGGGTGCAGGGCTGCGGGCCGGCCCCCATCGACCCCCGCAGCCACCCTGCCGGAGCCGCGGGGGTAGGGTGCCCGGGGCAGCCGGCACTCGGCGCGGCGGACGGGGCCCCCGCCGGGGCAGAGGCGGCTCGGGCCGCTCCCGGCGCCGGGGCCCCCGGGGCAGGAAAGCAGCCGCCAGCAGCGCTTCCTGCCCGGCGCCGCCGCCGGGAGGCCCGGCCGTGGGGTCACAGGGACGCGGGACCACCGGGACGGCTCGTCGGGGAGCGCGGCCATGCCGGGCAGGGCTGGCCCGGGGCCCGCAGGGCGGTGGAACCGGGCGGGAACGGCGCCGTCCCGCCAAGCGCTTCCCGCGGGACCCCAACAGGAGCCGGGAGGGCCCAGGCACAGCGGGATGGGCGGGCACGGCACCGAGCCGCCGAGTTTAACCCGCTCTCCACAGCCGACAGGGGTGTCCTCCAGGCTGGAACGGGTCCGCTCTGCCGGAGCGGCCCATGAGCCCCGGCGGCACCACCGGCACCGGCGGCGGCGACGCGGGAGGGAGCGGGGACGTGAGGGACGGGGCGGGGCCTGGGATGCGAGGGGCGGGGCCTGAGGAGGTGAGGGGCGGGGCCTGGAGATGAGGGACCGGACCCGGGGCGGGCCGAGGCGGGGCCCGGGGCCTGAGGCGGGCCCGGGGCCTGAGGCGGGCCCGGGGCGATCCGGGGCGGAGTCCAGGGAGNCGGGCGGGGCCGGGGGGTCCCGGGGCTTCCCGGGGTTCCCGGGGGGTGGCGGGTTCCCGTGGTACCAGCCGGGCCCTGGGGACAGGGACTTGCGGGGCTGGGGCCCGCTGCCCCGGCCCGGCGGCTCGCTGCGGTTCGTGTTGGCGGAGCTGGGGCGCGCTCGGGCCCGGCCGGGGCGGCACGCAGGGCGGCTGGAGTGCAGCCGCGGCTTTCCGGCGGCGTGTCCCGGGGGAGGGCGGGGACCCGAGCAAGCCCCGGGCTCACGTCTGCCCCGGGGGACAGCACGGGCGGTTCTGGTCAGCGCCGCCCGTCGCTGCTGCTGTCCCGGGCCTGTCCGTGCGCTTCGGCTGGGGCTGTTCCGCAGTCAGGAGCGCTGCAGAACGAAGGCTTGGTTTAAGTCTGTGATGCATAGAGTGTTTTCCCCATCCACAGGGACTTTTTTCAATCATCACTTGTTTCGGGGTTGAGCTCGCCGTTATTTAATGTTTATTCTTTCTGTGCTGTTACAGAAAAATGGAAATCGCCACTCCTCCGACATCCAAGTGCATCATGTACTGGAAAAGGAAAGTCAAGTCCGAGTACATGCGTCTGCGGCAGCTCAAGAGGTTCCAGGCAAACATGGGAGCAAAGGTACAGCCACAGCAAGGGCTGGGCTGGGATGCCCCAAAGAGGCTTCATTTCAGCTCAGAGTGTCTGAGTGGTGCCAGAGGGTGTCAGCAGGGTGAATTGATAAGCTGTGCTTGACTTGCAAGCTGGATCAATGGGAAGATGCCACTTCTGTGCTCTGTCTTGTGCTGTGTGGGCAGCAGCTGTCACACACACAAGGCCATTGAACAAGCACTGGTGTAACTGCAGCAGGAGAGCTCATTTCCAGTTGTTTTTTACAGCATCTCCTTGCTGAACCTTTCAGTGCTGTGGGAGTTCTTCAATGGGTTTTCTTAAGTTTTGAGAGCTCCTCTCTCTCCTTTCAGGCTCTGTTTGTGGCCAACTTTGCGAAGGTTCATGAGAAGACTCAAATCCTTAATGAAGACTGGAAGAAGCTTCGAGTGCAGCCCGTGCAGCTGATGAAGCCAGTCAGTGGGCACCCGTTCCTGAAACAGGTGTGCAGAGGAAAAGGGCCAGCATCAGCAAGTGGGGACTGGAGCCAGGACTCTGCAGGGGGCTGTGGGGATATGGATGAGTTTTTGTCTGTGTTGGCCATGCCTCACACTTGTGGAATGCAGAAATGGACAAAAAGTACCCCCAAGGCTTTTTCCTGTGATGGAGTCCACTGAGTGCATGTGGGGCTTCTGTGTTTGTCCTGAATTCAGTTTTCCTCAGGCTGTGGCTGCCTCCCAGAGTGGTTCCTCACTGACCTTCTCTGTGCTTGTATTCCAGTGCACTGTTGAGAGCATTTTCCCAGGATTTTCAAGCCAGACACTGTACATGAGGACCCTGAACACAGTGGCACTGGTGCCCATCATGTACTCCTGGTCCCCTCTTCAGCAGAATTTCATGGTACGTGGGAAGCACGGGGTCTCAGTGAGGTCAGCATCTGATTGTTAGCCAGCTGGGAAGTGGTTTCAGGCAACATCTGCTTGACAGGTGATGAAGTGTTGCTTTAGCTGCTTGTTTTGTGGAATCCCAGCCAGCCTTGTGTCCACACTACCTCACCAGGTAGTCTCCTTTACATGTGGCTTCTTGACAGCATCACCATTGCTTCACAGAATTTAAACAGTAAATATGTTTTTGGGAGGTTTTGTTTGTTTGTGTTTTTTTCCTAAGACTTTTATTTCCCTTTACATTAAGAGTTTTATTTTTTAGGCAGGTCCTTTGGTTTGTGACTGGGTTACAGTGGGATATCACTGATGTGTCAGTGATGAGACATGTGAACCTTTGCTGTGCAGGTCTGAGGGACCAGAGCAGCCTTGGGCACAGCCCCGTTGGGGTCAGCAAACACTGCTTTTCTGAGTTGTGTCTGATCTCTCTTCAGGTGGAGGATGAAACAGTCCTGTGCAATATCCCCTACATGGGTGACGAGGTGAAGGAAGAAGATGAAACTTTCATTGAAGAGCTTATTAATAACTATGATGGCAAAGTTCATGGAGAGGAAGGTAACCTGGGAGCAACCAGCTCTGTCCACTCCAGGCCAGGTTGGATGGGGCTGGTCTGTCCATGGCAGGGGTGGAACAATATGAGCTTTAAGATCCCTTCCAACCCAAACTTTCATACGGTCCTGTGATTCAGTCTCTTGCAAATAACATACCCAAGTAGTTCAGAAGTCAAAAGGTGGCAGCAGCAACCAGCTTTTCTGTGGGAGCTCTCTAAGCAGGATGGTGCCTGCCTTCTCCTTTGCAAGGGCACATTCCTGCCTTTGGGTACCTCACTCCATTTTAATGCCTGGAGTGCTCTGGAGCCAGTCCTCCTGTGTACAGGGATTCATTCACAGGCGTCCTCTGGGATGCTGGAAATGTGCTGGAGGGGGAGTAGCTCAGCAACCCTGTTCTGCTTGTTGCCTCAGCCAAGAGTTTAATCAATGAAAAGCACTGCCTGCCCCATCACAAAATTGCCCAGCGGGGAGGAAGACAGGGGAAACTGGTGTGGGCTGTCCCCAGATTGCTGAAAATGATACACCACTACTGACTTTAGTGCTAAAATCCCACTTACCCCAAAAAAACTGAGAGAAGGGCTGGTGGGTAGCAGAGCACATAGGCTTGTGGTTTGCCATGGCAAGAAATGAGAAAAAGGCTGGCACTGCCACTTCTGTGTGTTTCAGAAATGATCTCAGGGTCAGTCCTCATCAGTGATGCCGTGTTCCTGGAGCTAGTGAATGCTCTGAATCAGTACTCGGACGAGGAGGAGGAAGGACACAATGATTCTGAGGTGAAACAGGAGGATGGGAAAGAGGAGCTGCCAGTGACAAGGAAAAGAAAGCGAATTGCAGTGGAAGGTGGGTTTGCCCCCAGAGAAGTGAAGATTATGCTGGTCACATTTCTGTTCTGCCCCACCTGAGCACTGGGCATCCCTCTCCTGCCATCACTGGGTTGTTAATGTGCCAAGAGTAGTTCCAGCTTGACAAGTTCTGTAGCAGAAGGGAAATGGTTTGTTTTCACTGTCCACTGTGCACAGCGGAAGAAATCACGATCCAGAAGTGTGGTGAGAAGTTATTTAGATGAGTCATCTGAAAACCCACTTTGTGGTGAGATTAGCAGAGCTGGGTGTTATCTGAGAGACTATGGGATGTTTTCAAGTGCTGGTCTGGCAGACACCTGTCAGGGAGGTGGGGGTGAATCTGTTTCTGTGGGAGGCAGGGAGGTGGATGTTTTCAAATCCCTTCCAGACCTGCTTTCCATGTATTAGTGTTCCTCTTCCCTCTCCTGTGCCACCTGGAGCTCTTGTTGCCTAGAGGAAGCTCTGGTTTGTGGGATTTTCTTGTGTCCTTGATGACCTTCTGAATGCTGATGAGTAATTTTATCTTTGTGCTTAAGTGATGTGGGCAGCACAAACACCAACACTTCTGTGGATGTAGAAAAGCATTGTCTGCAAGTTCTGTCGTGGCAGAAATAAACAGTAATTTGGCTTAAGAAAAGTTGGTACTTCCAGCAGTACACTGTGCTGCACTGAAAGTGTCCTAGCACTGCTTCTGGGAATACCTCAGCGTGGTGGCAGGACACAGGGTTTATCTGTTGTGCATGGGATTACATTTCTGCCTTAAAATACAATCCTGAGCATCTCTGGAATTGCTCTGTACAAGAAGGGAAGATCCAGCCACATCAGCTTGTCTGAAGAATTGTGTTTTCTTTGTAGGTAACAAGAAGTGTTCAAAGAAGAGGTTCCCCAATGACATGATATTCACTGCTATTTCTTCCATGTTTCCTGAGTATGGCTTCCCAGAGGATATGAAAGAAAGGTAGAAAATGCCTGCACTGGTTGTCTGTTCCCTTTCTTAGCAAGAGTTGAAACCTTTGTATCAGAGACCAGCACTGTGGGCTGGCTGGGCCACAAAGCTCAGTGCCTGCAGGCTCTGTGAGCAGAGTGTGTTGAGCATTACAAACTGCAGTTTGGCCTTGAGGTACCTGTGCCAGAGCCCAATGGGCCCAGACGGTGCTGTAAAGCTTCACAAATGAGAAAAGCACATCCCTGCGTGTTTGTGTTTGTCAACAGGTACCGGGAGCTGACAGAGGTGTCAGACCCCAACGTGCTGCCCCCACAGTGCACTCCCAACATCGACGGGCCGTGCGCCAAGTCGGTGCAGCGGGAGCAGTCCCTGCACTCCTTCCACACCCTCTTCTGCCGCCGCTGCTTCAAGTACGACTGCTTTCTGCATCGTAAGTGCCGCCTCAGCCGGACGCTTCCCTAGAGCCCTTTCTCCTCAGTTTTCCTCTGCACGCCTTGCTTAGTCCGTGCTGGAGCCTCTGGAGGGTGGTGCCTCATGAGTTTGCAGTGGGGCCTTAGGAGCTGACAGGTGCCCAGAAGCCTTTTGTGCAGCCGGCTCCACTCTTTGCTCCCACGGACGGCAGACCGACGTGCGAGGCCGTGGCCGTCCCCTCTCCGCGCTCAGCCCGCCGCCTCCGAGCTCCCGCCACTTTGTGCAGTAGTCCTGCCACCACCAGACTTTGCTCTTGCTTTGCAGAAGCTCGTCAGTGAAAGGCATGAATGTTTCACTGCCAAAGTCTGGACATGCCCCTGTGTTTTGTTGCCTCCCTGGAACTTACAGCTTCGTCTTAGTCATGTTCCTGCGGTTGGTCCTGCCAAAGCCTTTTGGATACTGATTAGCTGCTGGACCTGCTGTTCTCCAGGTCTTAAGGGCTTCTTTGGGAAGTCACAGGACTTTTTCCAGTGAATTATTTATTAAAATATATAATATTAATATGATGTGGTCTTTTTGTTTCAGTGTGAAAGCTGATCCTTCTCCTTTGGCCTCTCCTTCCCAGCCTGCCTTGTCCCCGTTGTGGGTTGGAGCAGGGTTACCCTGTGGGTCTGGCCTCACTGCCAGGGGAACCCTCAGGCCCACAGGCTCCTGCTTCCTGTCCCTTGCAGAGTGGGGGGAGACTCTTGGAGAATGCTAATAGTAAAGATAACTGTTACTTTTTCAGCTTTTCATGCTACTCCTAATGTGTACAAACGAAAGAATAGAGAGACCAAGATTGAGCCAGATCCTTGCGGCGCAGACTGTTTCCTCTGGCTGGTATGTTTCTGTGTCACTGCTTTAGAAACCATGGGAGAAGTGCCCTGGCCAGCTCTGCTCTACAGAGATATGTGGATCTTTTTCACAACTTGGATGATTTTTTCAGAATTGGTTCTGGTCCTTGTTGGATTCAGAGGAGCATGAATGCAAATGCAGACCTTACCAGATGCGTATTATAGCAGCTCACCAATAAAGACTAATTCCAGAGCTGGCAAATGGGAAATTGTATGACAGATGATTTATCTGGAGTCAGTGCAGTGTTAGAGAAATTAAGCCCGTGCTTAGGAGCAGAGCGAGAAGTCAGGAGGATCCAGAGGAGTGGGCTGGGGGTTCAGGCCAGGGAGCCTCTGCTGACTGGGCAGCAATGCCAAAGGGAACAAAGTGGGAACATGAAACACAAGCAGCTGGTTTGGCACTTGCTGAAGGCACCACACATGGCCAGCTTCTTCTACCTGCTCTTGGTGGTGGCAGGACAGGGCTTGTCCCTGGGCCTGTGGAAAAGCCTTCCTGCATTCCCTGGTTATCTGTCACCTGTCTTGTCTTCTGCTCTGCTTGCAGGAAGGAGCCAAGGAGTTTGCTGCACTGCACAACCCCCGATCCAAGTGCTCGGGCCGTCGCCGCCGGCGGCACCACGTGGTGGGTGCATCCTGCTCCAGCACCCCGGCTGTCACGGAGACCAGGGAGGGCGACAGCGACCGGGACACGGGCAACGAGTGGGCCTCTAGCTCCTCGGGTATGGTGCCAGTCCTGAGACACCCCGCTCCTCCCTGTGAGGGCAGGCAGCTCCTCGCAGCTGGAGTTCTCCCAGCCTCCCCTCTGCTTCCTGCACAGCTGGAGGATTTGGAGTTAGCAGTCAGTGTTCCCAGCAAACCTGAGGGACACCAGCCCTGCCCTTGCTGCTGTGGGACTCACTGTCCTCTCCCAGGAAGGAGGAATGTTGCCAGGCAAAGCAAGAGCTTTGCTGGGACCTGCAAAGCCCAGAGCGAGCCCTTGGCTCCTGAGCACTGTGCCTGGCCAGAAGCAGGAGTGTATGGCTGGGAGTGCATTGCAGGGTTGCAGGGCACTAGGGGGTGACCACTGCCCCCCAGAGCCATGATGGCCAGGGTGTGTTTGGCTTACCATCTGCCTTTCCTGCCAGAGGCCAACTCCCGCTGCCAAACCCCCACGAAGCAGAAGCTGAGCCCGGCCTCCTCCCAGCTGTTTGCAGTGGAGACGCCACAGGAGCCCGTGGAGTGGACAGGAGCCGAGGAGTCCCTCTTCCGTGTCTTCCATGGCACCTACTTCAACAACTTCTGCTCAATTGCCAGGCTGCTGGGGACAAAGACCTGCAAGCAGGTGGGTGCCCAGAGCAGGCAATGCAGTAAGAGAGGGGCCAGGGCCAGAGCCACTGCCTGTTGGTTTTATTTCTCTACAAACCTCCACGAGGAAGGTGCCACATCAATGCTTTTGGAGCTCAGGGTGTTACTCTGCAGCAGTGCTGCTGTTGGCAGAGTGAGCCCTGTGTGCTGGTATTGTGGGTTCCCTCCCATGTCACAGTGTCACAAATGAGTGTGTGGGCACTCATTTTCCAGGCAGGAGGAGGCAGTGTGCCGTAGACAGGAAAATGGGGCAGAGCTGCTGCTCTCTGGGCTCAGGCCTGAGAGCCTTGCTGTGCTTACTCACACTCTCCTTATGCTTTTGATAAAACAACTTGAGTGCACCAAACTTGTTTCTTCTTTTTGCTTGTGTTCTTTGGTAGGTCTTTCAGTTTGCAGTGAAGGAATCGCTTATAACAAAACTGCCAACAAATGAGTTAATGAATCCATCCCAGAAGAAGAAAAGAAAGCACAGGCAAGTGTTGGACAAGCTTGTTTTGTTCTTAAAATGCAACCAGATCTGCTGCTTTTTGTGCCAACGCATTCCTGGTAATCCCCATCTGGCTCCCATCTGTGTGCATGTCCTGCTGTCACATGTGGCTGCTGGTGCTGCTGCTGGGTGCTGGCCCTGGCCCAGCTCCAGGGCTGCTGCTCTGCCTGGGGGCTCAGTGGCCCTGCAGCCCCAGGCTCAGCTCGAGGAGAGGGCAGCACTGGCTGCTGGTCCTGGTGCCATTTCCCTAACAGCAGCCTCAGCCTCAGCTCCCTGACTTGTAACCCACTTTGTGTGTTGGTCTCAGTGTGTCCAGTATTATTCTGGCTCTGGTGTTTGGCTTAAAGAGCTGCTGCAGCTGCATCACTCTCCTCTCTCTCCACTTTATGGTGGCTGCTGATTATTAATGCATGAATCTGCCAGGCCCATCTCTGCTGTGCTGGCTGCTGGTGCTGAGCAGCGCTGGCTGGCTCTCCCTGATGGCTTACACATCCTCTCAACCTTCTCTGCTCCTTTTGCAGGCTGTGGGCTGCACACTGCAGGAAGATCCAGCTGAAGAAAGGTAGAGTGGGCTGTGGCTGTGTCTTGGGAGGTTTGCAAGGGTTGAGTTCTCCAGCAGGATGGCCGTGTCCTGTTCACCAGCCTGGCAGGTCCAGCAGCATGGAGGGAGTGACTGCCCCTGGCCAGGCTCCTTGGGGGGCCAGGGACATCATGGCCATCCCAGTGCCCACTGAGGCTGCATGTGCAGCAGAGTTTGCTGCAGCAGGGGAGGCTGAGGGCAGTTTGCAGCCCTGCTGTGGGCTGGGCAGTGGGCAGTGAGCACAGCCATGTGTGTGTCTGTGGGAGCTGGGTGCTGCCAGGCTCCCTGCCCAGTGCAGGCAGATGGGCAGCTTGCACCTTCTTGGCTCCAGTGCCCTGCACTTGCTGCTTTGAAAAGATTCCTGCAATGTGCAGCTTCCAATCTTGGCATTTCTCTTCTTGTTCTAGATAATTCACCAACCCAGGTGTACAACTACCAGCCCTGTGACCACCCCGAGCATCCCTGTGACAGCTCCTGCCCTTGCATAATGACTCAGAATTTCTGTGAGAAGTTCTGCCAGTGCAACCCTGACTGTAAGAAGAGGTCAAGGACTATTGGGCAGGAAAGCAGCCAGCTCTCCTGGCACAGAGCACAGGGAGGGTGCAGAGCTGGGGCTTGCAGGGTGCCTGCTTTATTCCTGCAATTGCTGCTCTGTCCATCCACAGCAGTTCTGTTAGCAGCCTGTTAAAAGTCCAAAGAAAAATGGTTCTATGCTGTTGGCAGATGAGAGACACTCCTGTTGCACTCCTGTTGGTGCTCATCCCTGTGTGTGTGTCCTGTGGGTGCTGCTGCTGGTCCCTGTGAGCAGGATGTGCCTCCAGCAGTTAGGCTGGGCGCTGGGTCACTGCTCTGCTATGTTTATTTATCCTATCTGGGCTCCCATTCCCAGCTCTGCAGTGGAGAAAACAGCCAGAGTTTATTGTGTCCCTGCTCAAGATCTGGCTGGGGAGGAGCAGTTGGGGCAGAGACCCTGCATGGCCCCTCTGTTCTCTGCCAAACCTCACAGTGCACACCCACGGTGTGTGTTGCTCCAGGTCAGAACCGCTTCCCGGGCTGCCGCTGCAAGACCCAGTGCAACACCAAGCAGTGCCCCTGCTACCTGGCTGTGAGGGAGTGTGACCCTGACCTCTGCCTCACCTGTGGTGCTTCAGAGCACTGGGACTGCAAGGTGGTGTCCTGCAAGAACTGCAGCATCCAGCGAGGCCTCAAAAAGGTATTGGCAGCAGTGTGGCAGGGGCTGCCTCAGAGCAGAGCTGACACACTGCTGTTGCTGCTGTGTGTGGAGGGGCAGCAGCTTCCCTGGAGCTGCCAGAGGGTCTGGAAAAGAAGCTGCTCTGCTCTGGGTCTCTGCAGTACTTATCTGGAGTAGGGATTGTAGAAGTGAAAATCAGGAGGAATTGCGGATGTGAAAATCAGGAGATGGGAGTTACATGAGGAATGGTGAGAGCAAGAGAGTGCATAAAGTGGCTCTAGAGAAAGATTTAGTCTTGAATTCTACTGGTCAGAGCAAGGAATTGAGCATTATAAAGAAGGGAAAAGTTGCAAATTTGTGTGTGTCAGGTCCTGTGCAGCTCCATGTCATGGTGTAGGGAGCTGTGTGTCACCATAACAAGGGCATGCTGGATGGACACTGGCTCCCTGCTGCCCCCATGACCTGTGTGCTGTGAGGTGCTGTACCTGCCAGCTCTCCCCATTTCCTCTCATTTTGGTTCCAGCATTTGTTGCTGGCCCCATCAGACGTGGCTGGCTGGGGGACTTTCATCAAGGAGGCTGTGCAGAAGAACGAGTTCATCTCCGAGTACTGCGGGGAGGTCAGTGCTGTGCCTGTGCTGCTGGCCAGGCACACGGGGGCTGTGTGTGCTGGGAGAGCTTCCTCTGGCTGCAGGGTCAGCTGCCTTCCCTGGCCCAGCTGTGCCCATGGAGATGGAGCCCTGTGCTGTCTGGGGACACATCTCAGTACTTGTGGCCCTCCACTGTGGAGGAGCATGTTGTATGTGTGCTGCTGCCTGAGAGCCCTGCTCTGGCCCTGCCCCATCCCTGGGAGCCCTGGCAAGCTCCTGAGGTGGGAGGGAGAGCAGGAGGGTGTTCCCAGGAGGCAGCCCTGGAACCTGGCTCAGGCCTCAGCTGCTGAGTCTCTCAAGGTGATCTCCCTCTACAGCTCATTTCACAGGATGAGGCTGACAGGCGAGGAAAGGTCTACGACAAGTACATGTCCAGCTTCCTCTTCAACCTCAACAATGGTAACTTCTGAGGTTTCCAGGGGTGGAGAGACCAGGTGGGCATGCTCAGCCCACCTCTTGCCTGGGTGACAGGCCTGGCCTTACACTGTGGTTTCCTTATCTTTTTATTTTTAAATAGATTTTGTTGTTGACGCTACTCGCAAAGGAAATAAAATCCGCTTTGCCAACCACTCAGTGAACCCCAACTGCTATGCGAAAGGTGAGGTCCCCCTGCCCAGCCAGGCCAGGCAGGACATGGTGCTCTGAGAGCTCCAGCCCAAGCTGGGGCTGCACATTGCTGATGTTGCATCTCTGAAGTTGCATCTCTGGTTGCAGTCGTGATGGTGAACGGTGACCACCGCATTGGCATCTTCGCCAAGAGAGCCATCCAGGCAGGAGAGGAGCTCTTCTTTGACTACAGGTACCTTGGCCAGTGGGCACCTTGGGCTGCAGATCTGTGCTGGTTTGTGGGGGGAGCATTGCTGCAGCCATGACCTCCTGTCCTGTAGGTACAGCCAGGCAGATGCCCTGAAGTATGTCGGCATAGAGAGGGAGACGGACATCATCTAAGCTCTGGGGTGGTTCTGGCACACCTTGCTGCTGCACCTTGTAAGCAATGCCATGTTTGCTTCACGCTGACATGACTGCTGCTGTTCCTGCTGCTGTGTGTGTCACAAGTGCTACTTTCCATCCAGACACCAGAGAGACTCGGGGCAGGAGTGTAAGCAGCCCCTGGGCCATGGCTGTCCCAGGGTGGTTCCCCTCTGCCCCAGCTGGCTGGGAAATGGGGACTGCCCAGCTGTGGCTGGAGTGGCACCAAGGGATGCCTGGGGATGGGAGAGCAGCACTATGCAACATGATACTTTGAGTAGGGGTGCCACTGAGCTGGGTAGAGGATGATGTTACAGTCACTGCCTCTTGTGACCCAGGGGAGGCTTCTCAGAAACCTTCCTTGGGCTTTGTGACCCCCTGCCCTGGGAATAAAGGGGAAATATTCTCTGGCAAGGTGAGGTTTAGCCTTGCACTCCATGCAAAAAAGAAAGAAAAAAGCACTTTAAACTAATCCTCAGCTGGTGGCTGGGTCCTGTATTTTGGGGTGGAGGGACTGCAGGCATCTCAGGTGTCTTGCATCTGTCAGCTCCTCTGCTGGGATGTTGCTCCAGGCCTGGGACAGGGCAGGCTGGATGGGGTCTGGGGTGACCTGAAGGTTGGGGCTGTCCCCTGAGAGCCATATACGCCACCAGCCTCCTGCCTGGCCTGGTGCTGGGTGCTGGGCTGTGCTCCCAATGTCCAGGGCTGGGTTCCCAGGATGACATGGGGAGCCTGGCTGAGCCCTGACCTGGCTCCAGGACCCCAGCCTGCTTCCAGCTGTTCAGTCCAGGAACACACAGAGGTGCTGGGTTTGCCTGGGAGCCAAGCCCTCCCTGGCCCAGCCCTCACCATACTTTCCCAGTCCCCTGCCACGGCAGGCCAGGCTGTCTGTCTGTCCTTCCCGTTGTCCACGATGGCCCCCTGGAGCATGGAGGTGTTTAGGTCTGTCTGGAGCAGTGCTTGTATCCCAGCACCTGCCTGAGCCTTGCTCCCTGCCACCTCCATCCACCCAGCTCCTGCCAGCCCTGCTCTTGCCTAAGCGTCTTCTGCCACTTCGGCCATATCTGCACTATGCCAGGCTTGTGTCTGTGGTTTGTTGACGGTGAATAATGGTAATAATAATGCACTTTAATTAACATGGCTTGTAGCCTTTGTCATAATAAAGTGGTAGCAAAGACCCTCCCCTGCTCCTGGCCTCTGTTACCCTGGGCAGCAGTCTGTCCCCAGACTGTCCCCTGCCTGCTGGGCTCAGTCTGGCTGTCCCCAGCGTGGCTGCCAGGGTCCAGGGGGGACAGAGTGACCCGGTGCTGCCAGCTGCCTGTATCCCACTGGCTCAGGGTGGGAAGGGAGCAGAGGTGTGTGGTGGGGAGAGCAGGACATGATGTGTGTGTGCAGCAGCAGCTGAGCTGCCTCTACCCCAGCTCACTACACCCTGCATCTCGCACTGGGACCAGGAATTGCTGTTGTCAATGTGGTGCCTCCCTTGGTGCAGGCTGAGCCAGGGTGGGAGGAGAGGATCTGCCCGGGCTGCCAAGGTGAAGGCTGGGGAGTGTCAAATGCCATCATTCTGCCTTTATTTGATTATCTTCACATCTCATTCAAAAGAACAGACTTTTTAAAAATAAAGTGCCCAGTGGAGCCAGGCCTTTGGGTAGATAAATGCATATCTGTAACATTGTCTTACCACAACACAGCAAGTGAACAGGAGCTTTCCCTGGGCTGGAGGTAATTGGCAGGACTGGCACTTCGTACAGAGAAGTAGCAAACTACAGACCACGCACCACGACACGCGGGGTGTCACGCCCGCGGGAGCTTCCGTTTGGTTTTTTATACAAACCCATAGAATAAAAAAACCAGAGTGTAGTAGAATATCCAGCAACAAAAATGGTAGAAAGGATCTGTACCTGATCTTACGAAAGCAGCATCTCAGCAAGGTGCGGTGGCGGCATGCGCGGCGCCGGTGTGAGGAGTATTGCTTGGCGGCCTGGCCGAGCGCGGCCGGTGCTCGTGGCTCTGCGCGGTGCTGGCGAAGCGAGCGAAGCAGCGGGGCATCTACGCGGGCAGCGCTAACGGGCGGCAGCAGCCGGGTGCCCCCGGCCGCAGGGAGGGTGGGCACCGAGCCTGGCGCTCCCCGACAGAGGCCAGGCAGGATTTGGCAGCTGTGGAGGCAGCAGCCTGCCTCTGGCATGGGAGCTGTCGGCGTAACCGGGGCGAGCGAGGCTGGGGCTCGGCGGACCGTGGTCGGTGGCGGCCGCGGGGAGGAGGTGGCGGTCGGTCCGCTCCGCTCCGCTCGGTCTCAAGGCAGGTGTTGGCAGTTCAGGTGTGCTCGGCCTTTTGGTCCCGCGACGCTCGCTCATTCCCGGGCGGCTCCCGGGGCTGCGGGGGCTGTGAGCCCGTCCCACCCCCGGCCCCGCTAGTCCCCTCTCGGCTCCTCCAGGATCTGAGGCAGGTTCTGTTCCTTGCGTGCCGACGGTGGTTTGGTGGCACCGCCGTAATCCTGGATGGCCTTGGGCTCGTTGGTGTGGTAAGAGCCCTTGTAGCGGTGGTGGTAGAAGTAGAGCAGCACCAGCAGCCCTGACAGCAGCAGGAGCAGGAAGATCACGACTGCGGGGAAGAGAAGGCAGTGAGGGATTGGGGAGGGGCCGCAGGGCTGTGCCAGTGTGGAATACCAGCCAGAGGCTTCACTTACACCCAATGATGATCCCAATCCAGCCGTCGTCATGCACGTGGGGGAACTCTGCAGAGACAGAGTAGGCAGCTGAGACCAGGCTGCAGCAAGGTCTCACGCTGGAGCTTCCCTTCTGCAGCTGGTGCTTGGTGAGGGCTCCATCCCCAGCAGGGTTCCATCCCCAGCAGGGTCCCACCACAGCACCCACCTGTGGCCATGTACCAGGGGTCCATCTCAGGAGGGATAAGGATGGTGCTGAGGGGGAGCATTGAGGCACAGCTCGACTCCACCAGCTCCCCCCGGATGCTGTAGGGCCGCAGGGGACTGGTGGGGTGGAAGATGGCTTTGAGGGGCACAAGGGTGTTGAATTTCACGCCTGAGAGGCAGCCTGAGAAGCCAGGTGTGTTGTAGCGCTGGATCTCGGGGTCAATCACGCCAGTCTCTGTGGGGCCACAGAAGGAGATCACTCATCCCTCTCAGAGGGCAAGGGCCATGCTGTGCAGAGGAGACCCCGGAGACCCCAGCACGGGCAGGACCCAACTCACCCATCACACGACCCAGGTACAGGTTTTTGGGCGAGTCCAGCTTGCTGTCCACAAACAGGGAAAACTGCTGCTCCATGATGGGGAGATAGTCCACCTGGGAGGTAGGTGCACAGCATCAGTACCCACAGAGCCACCCTGCCCACCCTGAAGCCCCCAGGCCCCACCGGGAGGGTGCCCCAGCCCGAACCTGGGTGTAGAGTGTGCGGTGCAGGCGGGTGATGTTGACACGGTGGGGCCGCCCGTCCGTCACTGGCTTGTTGGTGAGAGTGAAGACGTAGGGGCTGGTGCCCAGCTGGTAGCGCAGCTGTAGGCTCCCTGTGGGCAGCACAGGGCTGTCAGCAGGGCTGCACCCCTCAGTGGGCACGTCCAGCCCATCTATAGGCTTGGAAAGTGGCATCCACAGGGCAGGGGGCCTTGCCCTCACCGTCATCCTTGATGAGCACGGCCATATAGTCCTTGACGAAGGTGCTGACATAGAGCAGCACGGCAGGCGCTGAGGTGGTGCTGAAGCTGAAGCTGACCTCCTCGCTGGTGAGGTTGTAGCCAGGCAGGGGCTGCCAGGGGCTGCTCACAATGCTGGCGAACTCACGGGCGGCGTACAGCGACATGGGCAGGATGTTGTACCGCACCCAGGTGCCCTCCTCGAAGTACCCACCGATGTCTGTGGGAGAGCCTTGGGTGAGGGGAGCTCCGGCTCCCCGGCCCCACCCAGCCCGCGGAGCGCTGCCACTCACCGTGGTTGCAGAAGGGCCCGGTGAAGGCGGAGATGCTGCAGTTGCAGGTGTAGTGGCTGTAGCGCTCCACGCAGAGCCCGCTGTTCTGGCAGGGCACCGGCGGGTCCTGGCAGTAGCCGGTGCAGTTGACCCGCACGCCCTCCGTCTCGTTGGCTTTGCCCTCCAGGTTGAGCGTCACCCCGTTCATCCGCAGAGCCCGCAGGCACCCCAGGAACGGGCGCATCTTGTGCTCTGCCGCGCCTGCAGCGGGGCCGAGACTGAGTGCCCTGTGCCACGGGGAGACCTGGGGGCGCAGGGACGTGGCCAGGGGCTCTCACCAACGTAGAGGGGCCTGTCAAATTCCAGGCGGACGAAGCTCTGTGGGGGGAATGGCTGCACCACCCAGGGCAGCTTGTCCACCCGCAGCCGTGCCAGCTTGACGTTGAGCTCAGCCTTCACCTGGTGCCACTCGTCGTCGTTCCAGGGCACCTCCGACCGCACCGTCACGTTCTCGTCCCCATTCCCAATGTCAAATATAAATGCCAGGTCCCTAGTGGCTGCAAGGACATGATGCTGAGAAGAGGCTCCGGCCCTCCTGCCCCCAACAGCCCTGCCCCACCCTGCACTCCCATACTGTTGAGCTCAATGCGGATGTAGTTTCGGTAGCCTGGGTTCTCCAGGAAGACTCCAGACTGGGCAGTGGTCTTGAAGTAGAAGGAGATGTCAAGGCTGTGGTTGGCCTGGAAGGTGGGGAAGATCAGGGCTGCGCCCCTGTTGAAGGAGACGGTGTTCCAGGTGTTGCCTGTGAGGAACAGGAGGGGCAGTGAGGGATGGGCAGGGTCCTCTGTGTGGGACAGCACAGGCAGGTGCAGGCACTCTGCAGGCAGGGGATGCCCTGTGGGGCTGCTCACTTACGGTCTCCATAGCACCGTAGGGGCCCCAGCACAAACTGGGCTTCAGAGCCAGTGCGGTTGGTGTCTCCAATTACAACCTGGGTGACGGGCAGGTGGTCCACAAAGGTCAGCAGACCCTTGTCTGTCCTCCTGCAAATGTGAGTGCATCAGAGGGGCCACGAGGTGTTTCTGTCCCTTCGCCAGCCCAAGCCCTGTTACCCCCATCTGAGCCCCAGCATCTGCGCCCCCCATGACTGCAGCCCCCACCCCACAGCTCCTGTTCCACTGCTGCCACCCCTCACCAGATTGCATGGTCGGCGTCACAGTTGCAGAAGTACTGGGGGTCAGCACAGTTCTTGTCCAGCCCGCAGGCGCAGCGCTGGATGCCCGGCCGCGAGCCCCCCCAGTAGTAGTGCCGCTCATCGTTCCGACCCATCCAGAAGCTGAAGGGCAGCCCGGCTGCAGGCACAGAGGAGGGTCAGGACACTGTCCCATGTCACAGCCCTGCAGTGCAGCCATGCAGCAGCGAGCCCCTTCCCCCGGCGCTCACAGGGGGTGTTGAGCAGGCGGGAGTTGTAGCAGTGGAGCTCAATGCGCTGCTCGCAGTACTCAGAGGCATTGGCCAGGGCTGAGACCTCGGCCCAGGAGGCGTTCCAGTACTCCACGGCCCCCAGGTAGGGCTGGTCCACGCTGGAGCCCGTCACCCGCGTGGCGTAGTGACGGTTGTGCCGGATGATGGTCCACGCTCGGTCCTCTGCAGTGAAAGGGGAGCTTTAGAACGTCACCCCTAGCACACCCCTGCTCCCTCTGTCCTGTTCCAGCTCCAATACACAGGCAAGGATTGGTTCCCAGAGGTCCCCTCTGCCCTCCTGCTGTCCCCACCTCGGATGTCACAATACACCGTGAAGGGCTTGAGTGGCCCACTGCCATCTGGGTCGATGGTGTAGTTGCCCGAGGTCTTCCCGCTGACCCGATAAGCATCACATGTTTCCTTGTAAAGGGCTGGAAGAGAAGAATGGAGCAGAGGTCAGTGCAAGGGAGGCACCAGGCAGGAGTAGGGGCTGCAAGTGCCCCTCCTGTCCCTGACCCACGAGGCTCCGGGCTCACATTTGTGGCAGGTCTCCCCCTTGTACCCCGTCAGGTCGCAGATGCACATGAAGTCATCCCAGGATTGGATGCAGCGGCTGTCATGCTCACACAGGTTGGGGGTGCACCTGAGGGCACAGAGGGCTCCTGTCCCAGCACCAGCACAGCCCCCCCAGTGTCCCCCACTCCCAGGCAGCACCCTCATCCCGGTCAATACCTGTCTGTGATCCCACAAACGTTGAAGAACACGTTGTGGTACTGCGCCAGCCGTTGCAGTGCCAGCAGCTCCACGTCCACGGGCTGCATGTCTACGTTCAGCATCTGCAGGCAGCCGTGGAAAGCCGTCTGGTTTGAGCGGCAGCCAGTGACTGAGGCCGGCTTGGGGCAGCCTGCAAGACAGATCAGGGTGAGCAGCCCTCAGGCACCCCTTGCCCCGGACCCCGCCCTGCTGCCCACCTCCAAAGAAGTACTGGCTGCCAGTGCGTAGCTGGAAGGGGTGTGCCACCCGGAACTCAGCACCATCATCATCATCAATGGTCACCACAGCTGAGCCCTCCCGTGCCACCAGGTGCACCGAGTGCCAGAAGCCATCATTCAGGCGATGCCCTGTGCAGAGAGGAAGGTGCAAGGGGACGCTCCACTGCCAGCCTGACCCCCCAGCCCCGTGCTGCCGCCCCAGCCCACCTGCAGCAAACTCCAGCTTCTTCTTGCCAGGCTGGGCGATGGAGACATTGACCTGCCCCTCACTCAGCACCATCTCGAGGGAGCCCAGGCGGTCAGAGAAGCCGGTGTAGAGCAGGAGGCCAACAGTGTCCCAGGAGCGGAAGCGGAAGCTGACGGCCAGGCGGTTCCTCCGTGGGATCCCCGGCACCCGCACGTAGTTGTTGATGCCGGCGAAGGTGATGGGGCTGGTCAGCTGGTCCTGGCAGTAGTGACCCACGTTGCCCTGGGAGAGACCATGGGAGGGGTGAGGAAGGGAATGTTCCCGTAGAGGGGAGGCCCTGTCGTCCCCGCAGTCCTGGCCTCAATCATGCCCAATTGATCCCAGTGCCTGGCAGAGCCAGGCGGGTGCCCCAGGGCAGGGACAACCTTGCACGGTCAATCCGGCGCCGCTCGGCTGAGCACAGCCCTGCATCACCCCACAGTGGGCAGGGAGCCCTGCCCCAGGGAAGGGGTTACCCCACAGTGGGGCTAAGGACACCCAGGGAAGGGGTTACCCCACAGTGGGGCTAAGGACACCCAGGGAAGGAGGTGCAGGGAGAGGACTCCCAGAGAAGGGGCCACCCCCAGGCTGGACCTCAAAGCGAATGTTGGGCCGCCGGTGCCGGGCCAGGTCGGCGACGTTGACCCCGTTGAACATGATGTTCTCCACGCAGCCCCGGAAGTTCTGCCGGTACGTGAGGTGCTGCTTGTCGTGGTCTATCACCCCTCCAAAGAATACCTGGCAGGCAGAGGGAGGGTGTCAACCCCTCCCTGGAGGATACCACAGGTCAGCATCCTGGCAGCCCCCTGGGCAGTCCACCCACCTCAGTTTCGAGGTCAAGCTGGTCGAAGGTGCCACGGCAGCGGAAGCGCTTGACCTCCCCGTCCAGCGTCAGGTTGACGTAGTGGCCGAGACGCTCGATGTGCAGCGAGTGCCAGTGCTGGTCATCCAGGAGGCTGCCCACTGCCACCGTCGTGTGGCCCTCGCTGGCGTGCAGTGGGCTGCTGCCTGGGGAGGACCAGCATCAGCCGGTGGCCCCCAGCCCCACGCCCCCGGCCCCTGGCCCCAGCTCACCTAGGCTGATGTGCAGGAGGAGCTGGGCCTGTTTGAGCTCCACTGTGATGTAGTCACCCTGGGAGCCCTCCCCGTGCATCAGCACCCCATCCTGCTCCAGTGTCTTGAAGTTGAAGGAGATGTCATCCTCGAAGGTACTGACCCTCTTGGCTCGGAAACGGTAGGAGATGGCATCGTCCCCATCAAAGTAGAGCACATGGGACCCTGGGGAGAGCAGAGCAGCCCCACCCATGTTACTGCCTGCAGCAGCAGGTGCCCTGGCACGGGGAACACACCCTTCTGCCATGGACTCTGCACACCCCCCTCTGAGAGAGTTTTCCAGGTGTGCCAGAGCCAGGATCCCCCCAGGCAGGGCTGCTGGAGCCCCCGGCCAGGTACTCACGGTAGGGGCAGCCGTAGAGGCCCAGGCGCAGCCCAATCTTCCCGCGTGGGTTCCAGGCCACGGGAATGATGCGAATGTACCGTGCCAGGATGGGGTAATGCAGGTCGTGCCGCACCACCCCGCTCTCATTCACGTTCCCAAAGAATGTCTGGGGATGAGGGGTCACTGTCAACACCTTGCTCCAAGTCAGGGGTCTCTACCCCCCTCAGAGAGCCCCCTCCCACAGGGAACCCCGGGCTCCCCCGTACCCAGTTGCTGCCCTGCTGGAAGAAGGGTTTCCAGCTCGTGGGGTGGTCTCCATAGAGCACAATGTAGCGTGTAAGCCAGTCGTAGGTGTTGAAGGTTCCCTGCGTGGCCACCGCATTGATCCGGTGCTTTTGCATCAGGTCGATCTGGAGCCAGGGCTGCTTGTCCCGGGGGTCGGGGGACCAGCCGCTGGTGCCTGCGGGGGGAGCAGCTCAGCGGCTCGGCTCCCGACTGAGCAGTGGCTGCTTGCTCGGCCCCACCACAGCACCTGAGAGGCGAAACCCGGCCAGGGACGCCCCCTGCCCACCTCCCCTGGCCCGCCTGCAGCCCAGCTCCGCGGGGGGACTCACTGTGCAGACGGGCGAAGCTGGCCGAGTAGAAGATGTTGTATCTGGAGGAGGCACCGATGGAATAGGAGTAAAGGGGAGCAACGAGCTCATCGTAGCAGGGTCCTGAGGGGAGAACGGAGTTGGGGGCGGCCTCGGAGCGCTGAGCTGGGCAGTGTCCCCGTGGGAGCTCCCCAGCCCTGCGGACCCTGGGGGCTCTGGGGACCCCGCGGCTCCCGCGGGCCGGCGGAGCGGCGGGCCCGCTCTGCTCTCCCCTCCCACTGCAGCGGAGCTGACACACCTCTGCGGGCCCCGGCGCCGCCACCAGCCGCCTCCGCACTGACGTGGGCAACGGGACCCCCGCCCCGCCCCGGCGGGGAACGATCCCGCGTGGGATCCCGGGGGATGCCGTGCAAACCCTCGCGGCACCGGCAAAAGACCGTTCGAGGGGCCGGGGTCCCGAACCACTTTCTGGGTCCCCTAACGGGTCGGACGGAGCCTGGGGAGCTCAGCAGCATCCGCAGCTCTCACCGTAGGAACCGTGCTGCATCAACCCCCAGTCCGGCGCCCCCCGACTCTTCCGTCCCCCGTACCACCGACCCCCGCCTCGATGCCCCTTCGCCCCGGCCCCGGGGAAGGGGCCCCGGCTGCTGGCTCAGGGGGCCACGGGGAGCTGTCCGGTGCAACCAAGGCCTCGCTATTCCCGTTCCCGAGCGGCTGCCCCCAGCCCCGGTACGGGGTCGGGCCCGGTGCAGCCCCGCGGCGGGGCCGCTGGCCGAGGTGCTGGCGGAGCCCGGCAGGTCCCGCAGGGCGTCCCCGCTCTCCTCGGCACCCCGGGGCATTCCGGGGCATCCCGGAACCTCGGGGCATCCCGGTTGTGCCGGGTCCCCAGAGGCTGCGGCCGGCGGGGGGGCTGCGGCGGGGCCGCCCCGGGCGGGGCGCGGCCGGCGGAGAGCCCGGACGGCCGCGTCCGGCGGTGACCTTGGGAACGGTGCGGACAGGGGCAGCCGAACACACCGAGGGACGGCGGGGGATGCCCGGGGAAGAAGGAGGGATGCCCGAGAGAACGGAGGATGCGGGGACTGCTCGGGGATGCGCGGACGGGGCGGCGGGCGCGGTCCCGCAGTGCGGAGCGGCCGCTCCCGGGACTGCGGCCCCACTTACGTGCGAGGCAGCCGGGACCGGCGCTCAGGAAGCCGGCGCAGGCGGCGAGCAAGAGCCCGAAGAGGCGGCGGGCGCTCATGCTGCGCGCCCCGAGCGCCCTCGGCGCCGCCGCTCCCGGTGCTGCAGCCGCTCCCGGAGCGGGGCCGGCGGCTCCGCCCACGGGGCGGGGGGGAACCGGGCCGGGCCGGGCGCGGCGCAGAGTCCCGACCACCCCCGCCGCACCCGCGCCGCGCCCCCGGGAGATGCTCCGCCCGGGAGCCCGATTTCCCCGCTGCTCGGCACGGCGAGCCGCCCCGGGCTGCACCGGGACGCGGCTCGTGTGGGCACCGGGGCACGGTGGGGCTGTGCGGGAGCTCCCCGGGCACCCCCGGCCGGTTCCTCGGCGGTGCCCGGTCCTCGCCGCAGCCCGAGCCTCCCCTGCCCCTCTGCGGGGAGGGTGGGAGCGCTGCCCGCGGCCCCCCCGCGGCAGATGTGGAGTGTTTGTGATCAAGCCGTGGATTAAGGCCCGCAGGTCTCGGGGTCGCTGCTCTCCCCGGTGGTGCAGAAGAAGGGATTTAGTTTGTATCTGCTCTCAGCCACCCCCAGACGCCCACAGAGGGGCTGGGGGGGCTGGCTCCTGCGTGCCCTACATACACCTGCACCCCGCGGTGCTCCGTGTGTCCTGGCCCCGCAGGACAGAGCTGCTGTCCCAGGGGCCTGGAGCAGTCCCGGGGGACGGGGATGCCCCAGCAGCTGCTGGCTCCAGGCGTGCAGCAGGAGCACGGCCAGGCTGTGCCCAGCTCTAGACCCGGCAGCATGTCCCGGGGCTGGCAGCCGCGGGCAGGGCAGCACAGCTCAGCCCAGCCCAGCTCAGCCCAGCTCAGCTCAGCCCAGCTCAGCTCAGCTCAGCTGGGGCAGCCGGTGCCAAACTTCCTCCCTGCCCGGGCAGAGCCCTGACCGCGGCTGGGGAGTGACAGAGAATAGAAAACCCCATGTGTGGCAAGGATGTGGGACACCTGGCAGCGCACCAGTTCTGCTACCAGGAGCTGGAACTGTAAGCTGAGGATGTTGGCACCCTCCCTCCTGGCCCCCAGACCTGGCAGTGCCCGCAGGTCCATCCCCAGGAGAGGCACAGCCCACCTGGCCTTGTCCTGGCACCCCGGGGCTGCCTGCTCTGGCCACAGCCCCACGTCCTGAGCCTGTGCTGGGTCAGATTTGTGACAGCCCAACAGGGACAGGTAGAACCCCTGCTCTGCACCCACAGCTGGCTGTAGGGCCAGCACTGGCCCCAGGACCCTGCTCCCTCCCCTTCCCCCAAGATGCAGGGTGCAGGGAGGCACCCCCAGAGCCAGCACAGGGTAGAGATCTGCAGTTAGCATCCCTGCACTGCAGAAAAAGCAGCACAGGGGGAAGAGACCCTCCAGCAAAGAGTCCTGGGGACCCTCTGGAGGCTGGGGGCACCTGTCCTGGCTGCTCTTCACCCAGGGTGCAGCAGCTCCACAGCCCCACAGCGAGCAGCCAGGCTCCTGTACCCGTCTGGAGGCAGCAGGAGGGCCGGGGGCAGAGTGGAGATAAGCCACGGCAGACAGCTGTAGCTGGGAGAAAGGGGGATTGAGGGATTATGGCCAGGAGCCCGTTAAAGCTAGGGATCAGTCTTCTCCCCCCTGAGGAGAGGAAATGGGGCCTCTGCCCCACAGGAACTAATCTGCTTTTTAATGAGGAGCTGGGAATTTTGTTGTCAACAACCAGCAATGCCTGCCCAGCACTGTGGGGGTGCAGCACCAGGCTGGGACCCCTGGGTGAGGGGCATGCCCTGCACCAGCAGCCACCCCAGCTTCTGGAACCACCACGTTTGCCATCAGGAAAAGACAGCCCTAAACCAGACAGGGCTCTGCCAATCCTGCCTGAGGAGCACTCTGCCTGTGCCCAGCTCAGTGCCAGCCCACAGCAGCCCCCAGTCCCTTCACTGGCCCCATTCTCTCTGGTCCTGCAGAAGCCAACAACAGCCCTGAGGTGGGCTGGGGTTTCCTGCATGTGCTGAACTCCCTTGGCCAGGCCCTGCTCCCCTGGCTGGGTGCTCCTGGGTTTGGCCTGTGCACCCACATGACAGAGACTGAGCAGAGCTGTTATTTCTGTCCCCAGCTTGCAGATGAAAAAGATGCACCAAGTCAAAGATTCATGACAGCTCCAAAGTGGGGTCGCACTTGCCATCTTGCCTTCCTCCCCAGGGCTCCTCCCCAGCACCAGGACAAGGCTGCACCTTTTTCGGTATCGGGAGCAGCACGTGGTCAAACCACATGTTACAGAGAGCTGAGACACCAAAGCTTCAGACCCAGCAGCCAGGGGAAAGGCTCTGCGGTGCCATGACAGAGCAGGTGAGGGGGCTGCAGGGTGAGGGGTTTGCTGGGAGCCAGGCATGACCCCCCCCATCACTGGCTTTTCTTCATGTTTTAGGTAGTTCTCTTGTGAGTCTTGTGGGTTTAGACTGAAAGGCAAAACCCTGGGGAAGCAGGGAAGTGCCTGGTGCTCCAGGCCCCGGGGCCCTGAACAGGAAAGGGGCTAGAGGAGCTGCTGGAGAGTCAGCCTGCCCTGGCACTGGGCTCTGATCCCACCTGTGGCCCCAGAGCACTTGAGGGGCCCAAGCCCAGATGCCTGGGCTCACTGACAGGGGCCAGAGTGAAATTGCTCTTATGAGGCTACGGTGAGTCAGAGAGTGTCAGATCCTGATCTCCAGGTCAGTGGGGTCCCAGCTGACCAGCACCAGGCTGCAGCACTGTCCCACTGCCCCAGAGGGGTGAGCAGCTGGGAGGGGGGAGCACTGTGCTCAGCTGCAGGCAACCTAGGTGAGGCAGGAGCTCCCTGTCTGGGAGCAGGACTGGGCAGTGCAAGGCTGTGCCCACACTGGGGTCCCCAGGGTGGTGTGGGGGGGCTTTGGGCACCTGGGGATGCTGCTGTGGATGCCCAAGACTCAACTGCCCGGGGCAGCTGGGGCCACAGGCTGGGTGCACATGCAGGGTTTGTTTGTTTGTGGGACACAGTGCTGTGCTAGGGACACCGTGGCTTGGGTCATGTCCCTCCACCACCTCTGCTTTTCACGTACCGGCTCAGGAAATGCGTTGGTGGCTCTTGCAATGACTGAGCATGGGAAATCTTCGGCAGCTGCGAGGTAGAAACAAACCCCACAATTAGGGCCAGGGACCGAGGCTGCGGCACACCCAGGCTGGGCTCCCAGCAGTGAGGCTGGGTTGGGTGGAGGAGGGCTGCCGTGGGTGTAGTTCTGTGCCTCGCGGCTGGGCCACCCCTGCCAAGCTCTCCTCACTCAGCCTCCCTCTGCACAGGTGACTCCCATCTCAACAGAGCTGATGGCCACCTCTGACTTCTACCCCTGGGAGGGTGACTACTCGGGCGAGGGCAGCCTGCTGCCTGAGCTCTGTGAGAAGCAGGCAGTACAGGGCTTCATCCGCATCTTCCAGCCTGCCTTGTACCTGCTGCTCTTGCTGCTGGGCATAGTGGGGAACGGGCTGGTGCTGCTCACACACACCTGCTACCGCCAGGCACACAGTGTCACCGATTTCTGCCTGCTGCACCTCGCTGTGTCCGACCTCCTGCTACTCCTGATGCTGCCCTTTGTCATCACTGACGCGCTGCAGGGCTGGTCCCCAGACACAGCCATCTGCAAGGCGCTGCAGGGGCTCTACGCCCTCAACTTCTACAGCGGCTTCCTCTTCCTCACGTGCATCAGCGTGGATCGCTACGTGGCCATTGTGCAGGTGCCAACCGCCTGCCGCCTGCGCCCCCGGGCCCGCCGGCACGGCCGGCTGGCAGCGGGGCTGGCCTGGCTGCTGGCCGTGCTGCTAGCACTGCCCCAGTTCATCTTCAGCCAGGCGGAGCAGCACCAGGACCGCCGCGTCTGTCGTGTGGTCTTCCCCCGCGCGGTCTCACAGGCAGCCCGGGGAGCCACCAACCTGCTGCAGGTGGTGCTCAGCTTCGCGGTGCCCGGCCTGGTGATGACAATCTGCTACGCAGCTGTGGCACGGACACTGCTGGCGGCCCGCGGTGCGCAGCCCCAGCGGGCGCTGCGGGTGCTGGTGGCCCTGGTGGTGGTGTTTGTGGCCCTGCAGCTGCCCCACAGCCTGATGGTGCTGCTGGACGCGGCCGAGCTGCTGACCAGCTGGGAGATGAGCTGCGCCCAGAGCCGCCGCAAGGACCTGGCGCTGCTGGTCACGGGCGGGCTGGCGTACCTGCGCTGCTGCCTCAACCCGCTGCTCTACGCCTTCCTCGGCCAGCGCTTCCGCCGGGAGCTGCGGCTGCTCGCCAGCGACGCCGGCTGTGTGCGGTCCCTGGACCCGCGCCGCTCCGGCTGCTCCAGTCCCCGCCGGCCGACATCGCTCTCCACCTGCCTGGACGCGGTGTAGGAGCGCGGTGCCCGCTCGGTCCCTCCGCGACTCCCCGGGGACAGCCCCGTCCGTGCGCAGACCTGCCCCGGTGAGCACCGTGACACAGACAACCCGCAGGGCACCTGCACACGCCTGAGCAGAGCGAAGAGCAGCCCCGAAACCCACTGCACGCCCTGAGAGTGCCTTCCCTGCCCGGCTCCCTGCAGAGCCCCCGCGCCGCGGGCCGTGCAATGTTTCGCGTGCTCCGGGGGTCCGGGCGGTGCCGTGAGCCCCGCTCGGTGGGTGCAACACCGGGGCCTGGCAGGCAGCCGGTTCTCACTCTCACAATAAACCCCGAATGAGTCTCGGTGGGCGAGCGCGGTCTCCGTGCGGGGTGACGCTGCCCCGGGGGGGTTTGTGGGGCCGGGGGCGGCTCCTTGGCCACCGGCACCGGCGGGCGATGCCTGCAGGAGGCAGCAGAAGCTCGCGCTTCCTGCTCGCCCTCCGCTCGTCCCCGCCGCTGGAGGGACAGGGAGCCCACGGGGAGGGAGCCCCCGGAGAAGGGACAGCAGAGACCCCCGAAAAAACCCTCCTTGGGTCCTGCACCCAGGGCGGGGCAGAGGGAGGTTTGTCTCCCCTCCTCACTCTCCCCACGAGCTCCTGTGCCACGGCACATCCCGGCCCAAGGCTGTGCGGCACCACGGTGCTGCGCTGGGGCTAGCCCGGCCCGGACACGTGGCGACCAACACATGGCCACCAACACATGGCCACGGGCTAGGACATGGCGAGCGACACTTGAGCCACGGGCTGGCACATGGTGCCATGGGGCCGTGCAGTGTCCCCCTCGCCCGGCTAAGGAAACGCTCCAGTGCCGGGAGCAGGACTGGGCTCTGCTGCGGTGCCGCTGCTCATGGAGCCTCCCAGCAGAGCTGGGCATGCAGGGAAGCACCTCCCGGTGCTGCCGGGGCTGGAGGAATCCTGTACACCCCCTGCTCCGTTAGGGATTAGCCCAGGACTCACGGCTCGACTGGAAGAAGCCCTTCCAGAAGCTTCACCTACTGCTGGGCCAGAAGCAGGTTACTGCTGGCTCAGCAGCCCCAGAGGCGGGGTGAGGGGCCTCTGTCCCCCACAGCCCTCGGTGGGCACCAAGAGCCAGATTCGGGCAGTTCTTGGCCACACTGCACGGCTGCCCCTGCTGCCCACCCAGCCTGTGGTCTGGGGTGGTCCCGCTCCAGTCCTCTGATGCCCCCGCAGCTGGTGGGCTCTGCTGGGTGCTGGCGACTGGCCTGGCTGCACAGCCGGCCCCACACCGGGGGCTCGGCCCCAGGCACAATCCAGAGCAGGCTGCGTGGGAGGGGAGCTGGCAGCCGGCGCTTCCTGCCGGCGCATCCCGGCAGCCCGGCTCCCAGGGACGGCGCTGACCCAACAGCTGTAGCAAAGCCAGAGCCTTCACTCCTGGGGCTTCGGGAGTGGGGCCAGGGCCTGGGCGCTGCCATGGCACCCATGGCTTGAGGGTGCCACGGACCCTCTGCCACTGGGCACAGCCCGGGGCTGAGCTGAGCCACATAGCTGCGACACCCCACCATGAACGCCTTCACCAGCTCCTTTGTGGAAAGTCGCTATGAGGGCCTGCCTGGGCACGGTGCCCTCCTGCCCACGGTGCCCTCCTGCCCGAGCACCGAGCCCACGGTGCTGCCCGCTGGCACAAACTTGGCACCACACCGGGCTGAGTCGCCGTGCTGGGACAGGCGCCAGTGCTGCCGCACGCAGGAGCCAGGGCAGCGCACGATGCGGGCGCCGCGGGGCAGGGCAGGGCCCCGCGCCCGGTGCCGGTGCCCACACCGGGCGCAGGCGGTGCTCAGTGACGGTGCCCCCGTCCGGTGCCGAGGGTACCCGGTGCGCCCCGCCGGCGGCGGCTCCGGCAGCCCCGGCCCTGCCGCAGCCCGGCCCGTGCGCGGGGCGGGCCGGTCCCGTCGCGTCCCGGTGCCGTCCCGTTGGTGTCGGCGGGGCGATGCCGTTCCCGGGCGGGCTGTGGTGGCTGCTGTGCTGTCGGCGGGGCTTCACGCTGCTGCGGCGGGACTACGGCGAGGCGGAGCGGGAGGCGGACGGCGAGGCCGAAGAGGAGGAGGAGGCGTCCTTCGAGCTCCGCGCCCAGGGAGACCAGGTGGGGCCGGCAGCGGCTCTGGGACGGCCACCGGGACGAGCACCGGGGTGGTCCCGCTGGGTGCGGGGCGCGTCGTTCCGGCGGGTGCGGGCGAGCCGCAGCCCCGGGAAGGCTCCGGGCGGGCGGGCGCGGAGGTCCCGGGCCCGCGGGGCAGGACCGACCGTCCCGCTCGGTGCTCCTACCCGCTTCGGCCCGGGCTGCCCGCTCCTTAGGGACGGGGGTCGCGGCTACCGTGGCAAACCCGCGGCGGAGCCCCGGAGTGCCCCGGCGGAGCGGACCGGGGCTGTCCCGGGAGCACGTGCCGGGCGCGGAGAGCGGGCCTGGATCTCCCGTCTGCGGCTGCTTCCTCTCTGGAGGGAAGCGGAGCGGCGGAAACCGGTGCTTCCTCCGGCCGGGCTGCGTGTGCGGCGGCTGATAGCGCGGGGTGCGGGGCAGCTCCCCGGGCTCCGGTCTGTCCCGCCGCTCTCCTGCACCGAGAGTCGTGCGGCCGAATCCCAGCCCGGACTCGGGGGACGCAGGGGATGGTGGCTGCCTGGTCCTGCTTGCTGTGGCCCCTCTCTCCTGCCCGCTGCGGGCACGGCCCTGGCTCTGTCGGTCCCCAGCAGCACGTCCCCTTTCACAGCAGTGCCAGCCCGTGGGGACAGTGACAGGGCTGGAGCTGGTCCCTCTGGGAGCTGGTGGCAGTGCCAAGGGCACAACTACGTAAGGAACCGTCTTTGGGCTTCCCACATCCAGCACTGGCTCCGGGCTGGCGTGGGCGACTGGTGACGCCAGCTCCCCCGAGAGCACTTTGCTGTGGCCAGGGGGTCCTTGGAAAGCCACGGTGTCAGCCGCCCCTTCGTGGGAGCGTGGGAGCAGCTACCCTGGCCCTGTCGCCGCAGCCCCTCTGCTGTTTATTTATATCCCTGAGAAAGAGCCGGCTGCCACCGCTGCCTCCTCTGGGCTGCCCGCGAGAGGCTAGGCACTGCCTCCATGCCCGCAGCCCTGCGGAGCGTGTGGGGCCCTCCCCAGTGGGACAGTGTCTGCAGGAGCTGGCCCTGTGCATGGGTACCAGCAGCGTGTGACAGGTGCCCTTAATGCCACAGGTCAGTGGCGCCCGGCCCTGCCCCGCGGCGCAGCCATACCTGCGGCGGCTCCCCCCTCCCTGTCACTATTTTTAGCATCTGTCTCTTTTTCTTGGCGTTGCGTGCTCTGGCCTGTCGAGCCTCTAGCTGCCCTGTTGGGCTGCAGCTGGCAGGAGCTCCCGTGCATCTCCCAGGACAGCACACTGCCGGTGCTGCCATGTCCCCGCACCCCACTGTGCCGGGCGCCCTGCCCGCCTGGTGCCTGCCTGTGCCTGGGCTCTGCCTCGTGTCCCAGCATGTGTGCCAGCGCTGTCACGTGAGTGGCACCGTCCATGTCAAGTTGTGCTGCGTGAGGAGGAACTGACCCTGTCCCACTGCAAGGGCCAGGGACTTCCCAGTGCTGCGTCCCACCGCCGCGGGCAGGAAGTCAGCGGCCCCATTACAATGGGACTTTGTGCCGTAAGCGTATTACTCAGCACTGACCTTGTGCAATTCTGCACGGTATTCAGCCAGCTGGGTCAGCTGAGGACACACGGCCAGCGCGCCCGCCGGCTGCCCCCGCACCCGGGGTGCCCCAGCTGCAGCCCTGCTTCTTGCCGTGGTTTTGCGGGTGCCAGGGCTCTTCTGCCCCATGGCAGCAGGATGTGAGCCTGTCTCCCCGGGTTGATGAGGAGACGTACAGTCATGCAGGAGGATGGCCAGGAGTGCCAGATAATGACTGTGGGGCTGAGATGTCTCCTTCCTCTCCAGGGATCCCTGGAGGTGAGCCTGAGCCAGCCCACCCGTAGCAGCAGCGGCTCGGAGCGGTGAGTGTCCCCCTGCCTTGTGTCCCTTGTGTGGTGCTGCAGGAGCTGAGGGACTGGCACATTGTGGGAGGTTGCCCTGGTGCTGGCGTGTGCTGAACCATCCTGCCCACCGAGCTGGCACCGGGCTGTGCTGCTGTGTCAGGTGGAGCAGGGAGTGGCAGAGCCGGGACTGCCATGCTTGTCCCCGTCCCTGGCGCATCCTCAGGCATGTCTCCATCCCCCTGCCATGCCAGATGGCTTGACTGCCGCAGGCTTAGCTGGTGGGGCTGTGCATGACTCTTCCTGTGCCAGGAGGCTCTGCCAGGCTGTGTCCATCAGCAGAGGCTGTGCCCTGGGGTGGTTGGGGCTGAGGAAGATGGGGTGCTGGGGCACAGGGGCCTGCTCGTTCGCTGTACTCGCAGTACTGACGCTGCTGCCAACATTCCTTCCTGGTTGTTCATTTTCCGAATTCCTTGGCAGGGCCAAGACTGCAAACAGCTTATTTTTAGCTGGGGTCATTTGCACCCAATGACTCTGCCGTGTTCCCACCGCAGGGCTGTGGGGTGCCCAGAGCCCCTTGGGACCCAGTCCTGAGGCCAGCTCCCTGCTCAGGGGCTGTGGGAGACCCCCACGGGTATCTGAGCTCAGCCCCGTGTTGTCCTCAGGTCCCTGCTTGTTGCAGAGGAGATGCGCAGCCTCATCGTGGAGAAGGGCCCAGGGCCAGTGGAGGATGACCCTGACGCTCTCGTGAAAGGTGGGACTGTGCCCCAGCCGTGGCTGCTCCCACCCCAGAGGGATGGTCAGACCCGTGCAGACCCTTCCCTGTGCTGAGAAGCCCGTGGGGTGGATGTCAGTGAGGCTGAGGGTTCCCCTTCCCAGGCTGGCTGCAGCGGGAGACGCGGGGCTGCATGAAGACCCCCTGGATCCGTCCTCGCAAGTACTGGTTTGTGCTGACTCCTGACTCCCTGGACTACTACAGCAGCAACGAGAAGGGGGCCAGGCGCCTGGGCTCCCTGGTGCTCACCAGCCTCTGCTCCGTGCTCTGGCCAGACAAGCAGCTCTACAAGGAGACGGGTGAGGTGCCCATGCCTCTTGGCTGGGCTGCATCTTCCCGGCACAACTTGTACCCTGTGTTACCCTCCCAGCCCTGAGGGCTTCTTTTGCCCAGAGGAGAGGCTGTGCTGAGCCCTGGGGCGCTGAGCCAGCCTGGCTGGGGTGCTGGGGACAGTGGGTGAGTGGCTCTGTCCCTCGCAGGCTACTGGAGCGTGACGGTGTTTGGCAGGAAGCACTGCTACCGCCTGTACACGGAGCACCTCAACGAGGCTGTGCGCTGGGTGTGCGCCGTGCAGAAGGTCATTGACAGCAAAGCCCCTGTCCAAACGCCCACCCAGCTGCTCATGCGTGATGTCGAGGTGAGCCCATGGCTGGGCAGCACTGGGGTGGGTGTTTGGGGCCTTGCATGCCCCAGGGTGGTGGTGGGGGTCTGTGCCGGGCACTCGGCTGGGTTACCCCTCTGCAGCTGTTGCTGTTGCTTTGCCCCCAGGAGCACAGAGACAGCCCCGAGGTTCTGGAGCAGATCTATCGCTGCAACCCCATCCTGCGCTACACCAGTGGCCCTCTCTACGCTCCCCTGCTGCCCTTCCCCTACGGCAGCCTGGACCAAAGCGGTGAGTGGCAGCTGGGGGGCACAGAGCTGGGTCCTACCCTCCAGGCTGGCAGCAGTGATGGCTGGGCTGGA